GGGAGCGGTCCCTGTCCCGCCCGTCTCCCCTTCCTCCGTTTGGTCTCCTCCCGGCCGTGCAAGTTTTGGTGCCAGCGATGGGCCCCACGGTAGTGAGGAAGTTAAATAATTTAAAGATGTCTTTAGAATCCCCAAGGAAAAACCCTTTTTACGCTTTAATACATTCTGAGCAAGAATTTTTTGATCGATAACTTGCTTAAGAAAAACCAGTCTAAAACCTGAAGGTGTGTCGAGCAAGGTTGAAACCGTTAACAGTGCGAGAGGCAATAGGAATGAGCTGCAGGTAGGGCTCTGGACTTTCACCTACAAATGACCTTCGTATCAAAATGGTTTATGTTTTAGTGCTTGAGAAGGTATTAAAAATTCCCTTGGTGGGGTTTTCAGGGAGGTGGTGGGAAAATAATAGCTGGACCTGTTTCAAACCTGAGCTTAATTCTCTTTCTTTGGAAATAAGGTATGCCCAGGAGGAAAGAAAACGGCGAAGACAGAAAATGTTAAAGACACTGGCTTGGCTTCAGTTTTGATCTCGTACGGACAGCATCTCTGGCTAAGCCAGGCTTCTTAACCTCAAAGTAGTAAGGAAAAGAGGGGGAGAATACGGAGAGCAGGGAGCATTGTATCACTAATGCAAGCATCGAATTTCACGATGCATTGACAATAGTTGCTGATCGTGGGCTTTTCCTGAATTTGTTTATGGTGTGTTTGTTTTGTGGTTTTGTTTTTTTTTCCTCCTGGTGTGATCCAGTCAGCCTCTGTCAAGCTAAAAGGTCCCAGACTCTGACTGGACAGTTTAGCTGACAGCATGGTGATAAACTTGCTTCTACCAATCCACTAATTTCCCCCACTCTCAGAATGAACCTTCCTTCCTTCTGGTGAGTTTACAAAGTAAAGAGTGCAAAAAAAGAGGTGGGCAGAAGCATCTGTTCTCTTGCTATTTCATTTGCTAATCAGAACTATTTCTACTCACCGGTTTTATTCCACCGATTAATCTGATATTTGTCTTGTTAACTAGGCAAGACCTCAGCGTGCTGCCCCATTTGCACTGAAAGGCCTTTTTGTTTGGTATATTCTAGCCCTTTGGGTTTTTAGCTGTTCCCATCTCTTCCTAACTTTCTAACTTTTCCCTAAAATTAGCTAAGAAACAGTTGTTTCTTCTTTTTTTTTTTTTTCCTTATTTTCTATGCAGTATTCCTACCTGCTTCCAATACTAAACAGTAGTCTGCTGTTTAACTGTAAATGTTAGGTTAAGCAAGCTTATCTTACCAGGGGACATGAGTAATACCATACAAATTCTGGTACAAAAGTGATAAAAATAAGCGGATGCTCTCAGAATGCAGTTTTGCATGACGCCTCTGCATAATCTGCAGCAGTCATCCAACTGCAGACTTTTATCTGGGTCTTTAGGTCATCCCAATAACACCTACTTAGCTCTTCCTTCTCTTCATCATGTTCTCACTCAGGTTTTTCTGTCTTTGCTGCAACAGCATACGCTTCTCATTGCAGTATTGTCCTTTCTTGGAAAGTATACAGTTCAATATTCCTGCTATGGCATAGTCCTAAAGATGCACTCCTGACCTGTCGCTTTTCCCCCATCAGATAACGAGCAAGTATCCATTATTACTTCTAAACTATGAATATTTTTATTTATGAACAGGAAGACTACATATTTGAAAGACTGATCTGCAAAGGACTTGAGTTCGTTGCTTCTAGTTCTTGAAGAACCAGATCCTCCTCGTTAGGCAAATAATAATCCGAAGATACGTAGTTTTTTTTAAAAACTGCAGTGTAGTGCACAGCAACAACAAAAATGCCTTAAGGAGCCAACTCAAGCAAAAATAAACGTGTTCAGAAGCTTCCTGAATGCCCTTCTGTAAAAACAAACAAACAAAAAAACCCCAAAACCCCAAACCAAAACAAAAAAAACCACCCAAAGCAAACCAAACAAACAAACAAAAAAAAAACCCGGCAAACTTCAAGATATTTGGAAAGACAAGATCAACATTTTGAAGATTCCCTGCACAGGACAACCTAGGTAGTATCCATTGCTGTATAGCCTGATCACCCTCTGCACCAATAATAATAAATGGTACATTATTTTTGATCCTTTGTGTTTGTCTATCTGACTTCCCTTTTCACCAGAGCTGGGGGGTGGGGGTGTTTCATTTTTCAGCAAAAGCATCTTACTTAATTGAAGATTAGTTTATACACAGCTGGCAAAAGCATACAGCAATCCGATATTATTATCACAGATGACAATTGTAATGTCTTCACTCTGACAACATGGAGGGTATAATAAGGGAGATGGCTCCACATCACTCTGAACGCTCACAGCAGACAAACTGCAGATTTGTTGTTTGACAGGAATCGTTGAAAATGCAGAATAATAAAGTAGATTACTTCCTATGGCTTATTTTCTTCATCCGAGCATATGCCGTGTGTTTGTTTGGAATGTTTAACTGTTTATGCAGTTTAATTGCTGTAAAGCTGTTATGAGTTCACTTGCGTTTGCCTGAAGCTATAGGTGACTTCTGAGCGACTTTTACTGAAAAGTACATATTGCATCAGTAGTAGTAGTGGAAGCCGGTTCTGCCGATGATTGCTATTTTTTGATTCAGAACAATGAATTCTCCATCATCTACAGTAATTTAGACATTCAGTAATTTTTTTTTTTTTTACTGATGGGATTTTTTTGTAACTTATGTTCACTTCGTTGCTCATCTGGATATTACATCCTCCTAAAGTTAAGTTGTTGCATCCTTAATGCTTCTGAGCTGTGGCAGGAGACTGCTGTTGGCCACTTCTTTTCACTCTGCTAAATCAGCCATACAGATGCATAGTTTGTTTGATAAGAAGCTGTTAATTTGGTGACTAATACACTGATTCTGTCTTGTGTAGAGAAAATTCATCATCTTTGGTATCTATTATGAAAATGACAGTTTCATTGAAAATAGAGCCAGTATTTATGGAATATCACTACTTTAATTTGGTTCTAGAAGTACTATGCAAGGATTAAAATGGTACGTGTAGGCAGAGGTGAAACTTTTCAATGAAGATATTTCAGCCAAAGGGTGTGGTTTGGGGTTTTTTTTTGGGGGGGAGGGCGGGGGGGCAGAAACAGTATGTTATCTCTGATGAGATGATAGGGTCTCTTGATTCCTTGCCATGCAGTTGCGGTGAGGGTTAGGCAGTACAGAAAACTGTTTTGTGGTGGTTCCACAAGCACTACTCTCCATTCGGGTTTGCTTTCCCACAGTGTTGATGCTGCCCATTTTAGAAATTTAAGCAAGAGTAAAATAGAAGCGTATTAATGGAGTAGGTCACTTTTACATAGCTGGTATTATCAATTTGCTTAGTTATGTTAGCTGTGCAAAAAGCCTCTGTAATAATTGTACTAGCAGCTGTACACGCATAAGGTAACTTTTGCTATGGAGTCAGTAAATTAGTCTTCCCCCTTGCAGCAGCTATCATAATCATATTTTAAAAATAATCTAAAAATCTGATTATTAAAGACTAAACGTGACCCACGGGCTGATGCTTGCTTCCCTTTTAACATTTGCGGAGCTGATTTTTGTTTGTAGAAGGCTCAGAATTTGAGCTTGGGGAATGTGAAGAGAGATTTTCAAAATTAAGTAGAGATTCTTATACTGAGAAAGTTACACTGTTTCTGACTATGGCAAAATATACATCATCATGAAATATTCAAAATAGAATGAAGTGTCAATCTCTGTTAATTTCTGTGAGAAAATAATACAAATTTCTTTCAGGCTGGACCATTAACCAAAGTGACGATTTGTAAGGACAAAGAAGGAAAACCTAAGTCTTTTGGATTTGTCTGCTTTAAGCACAAAGAATCAGTGCCTTATGCAATAGCTCTGCTGAATGGAATCCGTTTGTATGGAAGACCAATTAAAGTGCAGTATCGGTTTGGTACGTTTAGTAGTCTCAACGATTAACTTTAAGACTTTATAATTTTTTTAATGACTTTTTGAATCCTACAGTCTTTTACAAAGATGATGATTTATAGCTGAAACAAATTACAGTCTTTTTTTTTTTAAACAAAAACTTCTTGTGGCTTTTGCATAGGGAAGGATTCAGTATTTTTTGTTTACTAGGACAATACGTTGGCTTAGAACACCATAACTTGCAAGCCAGCTCAGACCACACTGCATGGAGAATATAGCAACACAGGTTTTCACACCAGATTATATTTAGGAATCAGGATGTGACTTTAACTTGCAGTCTGGCAGGAAAAGTTGATTCAGTAAGTGCAGCAACTATCAAGCTGTTGATAGTTTTTATACTAAAGCCAGAGAGTTATCAAAGCTGTTGTTTTCAGTGGAAGGGATTGTAGTTCGAAGAACATAGTCAAATCAGAGTCACATTCTTCATTTTATGTTTATGAAAATAAACCTTCTAGAAAGCTAATGATCAGGTAGCATTTGCAACCCAAACATTAAGGACTCGTGTTCCCACTATGCACTGTGCCACTCCTTACTTCAAAGGCTGTACGGAGCAGTTGCTGGGTTTAAGTAGAATGGTTGAGGTTCCTAAAATCAGAAGCATCTCCCGTGTCTGTAACTGAATGGGAATTATTCTGTTCTTGATTACTTCAACAGCCTTGATTTATGCTTCTGTCCTGGTTTTGGCAGGGATAGAGTTAATTTCCTTCCTAGTAGCTGGTACAGTGCTGTGTTTTGGATTTAGGATGAGAACAAAGTTGATAACGCACCCATGTTTTAGTTGTTGCTAGGTAGTGCTTACACTAGTCAAGGACTTTTTAGTTTCCCATGCTCTACCGACTGAGAAGGCTGGAGGTGCACAAGAAGCTGGGAGGGGGCACAGCCAAACTGGCCACAAAAAACATTCTGTACCATGTGACATCATGCTCAGTACATAAACTGGGGGAAGCTGGCCGGGGGGGGCCACTGCTCAAGGACTGGCTGGGCATCGGGTGGTGAGCAACTGCACTGTGCATCACTTGCTTTGTGTAGTAGTAGTAGTATTGTTGTTGTTATTATTACATCATCATCATCATTATTATTATTATTACTATTATTTTATTTCAATTATTAAACTGTTTTTATCTCAACCCACGAGTTTTTCTCACTTGTGCTCTCTCAATTCTCTCCCCCATCCCACCGGGGCGGGGGGGAGTGAGCGAGCGGCTGCGTGGTGCTCAGTTGCCAACTGAGGTTAAACCACGACAGCTTCTGTAAGTGAATAAATGATAAATGAACATTTTTAAGCAGTAAAATGATGCTATAGATTATCTGCCATAAAATGGCACCTTACCTTTATATACTACCTTAGATATGCTAGCACACTACAGATGACACAACACGTTCTGTGTTTTTAACTTGTTAATTGAATAGTTGTAACTGAATAGTCCTTATGCTCTTGTCTTATTCACAGGGAGTTCTCACTCATCAGAACTAAACAGCCCTACGCATGGTTTTGAGAACTATATTGACTTATATTCACCTTCATATAGGTAACAAAGATCACCTGTGAATGAACTGTATGATTATAATTTTAAAAAAAGCTTATTAAGAAAATTAGTTAATGTAGTAGAGCAATCTTTAGGCTTTTCATTAAAACAGCTGTTGCATGCTTTAATTGCGTCCTTACTGATGACTTGCAATGGGCTGTAGTTTATTTTAACGTTTGGTTGGTCAGCTTGGCGGAGGTTCAGTTAGCTTGAATTTTCCATTCTTTATTTGTTTCTGCAAGATACAGGACCACGAGAAAATATTGAAATATGGTGTTTGTACTAACAATGTTTGCAGTTGTTAGGGGAAAAAAATCTGACAATGGAGATGATCTTTTTAAACCCCACTGAGTTTATATCTGTATTTTTTGTGTGTATATGTACAAGCAGCTGTCATGCACATAGGAACGCACAGGTATAAACCTGTTATAATGGAAGCCTGAACACCCCAGATTCAGTATTTTTCAATGTTTCAACATTTTTATTTACAAATGTGACAGAACTCTCTGTGGAAGCTAAACTCCCATGGTGAAATCCAGAACCCTTTTGTGTCTGTACTTAAGTACATGTGAGGATTACTCATTAATTGAGCCTTTGGGTATATTTTCCTTGTTTTATCATTTTTTGTCATGGAAGTCCAGTTGTTAATACCTCAGTTCTCCTCTTGGATATTCTTATTATAGCACAAGAGTTAATCGCAGCACTCTGGTAAGCAGTATGTGGTGGATGTCTAGTCTTTGTACATTTCCTTGTTTTTCCTAGGTATCAAGAGCCTTATGGAAATCCTCCATTTCCTGTTACTCCTTTTCCAATGAACAATAGTTTACCTCATGAATATTCAGGCTTTCAAAAGATGGTGAGTTTGTGTTAGAAGTTAAAAATTTGGGAGCTTTTTTATGAAGTCGAATGTATTCTGCATTTCTGCAAACAACGGTGCTTATTTAATGTCTCAAAATGTGGTTTAGGCTGCTAACTGTGATGGTATTAGGTCTATTTATTTTAGCACTTAAGGGTACTATAATAACAGGGGATCTACCAAACCAAACTGTTTTTTTACTGCAGGAATGTCTTAAAGGTATATAGCTTAGGGAGGCTAAAAGTGTCAGTCTAGAGATGGAGCTCTGTCCCGTACTGTGTTCCAAATCAAATCCCCTTGGGGAGACAAGCTAACCTAGTGAAATTACAGCCATGCGAGCAATAGCTTCTTCATATACAGCTAATTCAGTCAGGGAACCTCTTAGCTCTTCTACTCAATTCAGAAATGCCCAGCAGAAGTTTGAAATGTCCTAAAACCAAACCTGAAACTCGCCCAGCAAATCACCACTGCCCAAGTTAGGGCAACAACAGTTTGAGGGTTTCTGGCCCGAACCTTTACACGCCCCTGCAGTTCTCACATTCATGATTTACTTTCACAGCAGTAGATAGTGCGAGCCTGTATTCCACTTCCCCTCTAAGAGACTCTGGTGCACCGGGCCATTCTTGTCCTAATCTCTTTTGTTTGAGATACTCCACAAGGCAAGGGAAGTGGTCTCTTCAGCTCCCTTCAGACCTGTGGCCCAAACCCTACTCACCAAACACATCATGGAGCTTCTGAATCTGATGAGTATGGATCAGCAGGACTGAAGAAACCCAACATTGAATGTGAGGTACCAGCTGCGGACAGTACTGCTGCCACCCTGTCTGACTGGGGAATGGCCAGCCCTTTGTAACTGTAGAAGCGAAGTCTGGGTAGATTAGCTAGCTGCAATCTGAGCAGGAAAATGGAGAGGTTCCCTGTTTGCACAGATGTGGTGGCCTGCCTCCCCTCTTCCCAGGCTGTGCCCTCAGAAGAGCTGGTGCCTGCACACACTTTCCCATCCCCTCCACTGTGGCTGGAAGGCTCGGGAGTGTACCACATCTCCCCTGCTGTGCTCGCCGATGAACCCACTCCTCAGTAACAATGCAGTACGTAAACACCGAGAGACCGAACTCGGCAGACCAGCACACACAACCAACTTCATCCCATTTTCTGCTTGCTAAAAGGGATGGTATTGCAGTATGTCTCCAATGATAGTTTGTTGCAGCTGCAGCAGGAAGCGATCTTGTCACATGCATGCCTTCACACATCTGCCTCACCTTTATTTGGGTGAGCCAGGCAGGTTACTCACTTGGACTCTGCTGGCATGTATAACATACTCAGACATGCTCCCCATCATTTTTCTGGGTACTGCCAGAAAACTTGGTTACTGCCAGTAGAAAGCCGCTCTTTTCTGACTTTTGTAATTCTGCTTCTGTATTTGGGCTGTGCATTTTGTATGAGCGGGACTCTTGGGATACTTTAGGGACTGTAGCAATAAGCTGGGCACTTGCTGTGTTGTTCCAAGTGCTTTGATCTATGGATTCACTATACCTGATTGGAGTGCCTTGTTCCACATTAACTTTAAAATTAGTTAAACCAGGTTAAAAAAAATTGCATGTCTTTACATTAACGATAGGCACTGCAGTTACAAATGTTTATAAATACATAGATGAAGAAATGAAAGGAATGCCACGTTCGATCACCTTACACAAGGACTAACTGGCAGTTTAATCTTAACTCAGATTATGTCTCTGTTCTAACTTTGCCATGAAGAAATTGTCTACTTTTTCCAATTATACTAGCTGATATAATAAAATATATAAGCTTTATTCTCAAATGTTGTGTTATTTTATAATTTATCAGTATTTTCACTGTATAAGCCATAATGCATGCAAAATTAAAGTCTTCAGAACTTCCTCTTTACAGTGTTAACAACTCAAGTTTCTGTTTCTCTAGATGAACCATTTTTTAGCACAGCGGTACACAGTACAGAGTCCAATGGGTCAACAATTTCCTTACTATCAGATGACTCCATCACTGCCTTCAAATTTATCCTTTTCTCCCTATCAGAATCAAGCTGCAAATTTTAAGTCTGCACAGAGTTCTTTTGAATTGGCCCTGCCACATTCAAGTGACTGTGAAGTGCACCAGGTGGATGAAAGCACCTCTAAAAGAAAGAAACAACAGCAAAGTTGTGACAGTGACACTAGTATTGAGGATGACAAAATGAGACAAAGAGAGCGTGACCGAAAATTCAAGAAGCGTAAAGCCAAGAAAAAGACGCATTAATACTGTGTAACTGGATTCATCTTTTTTTATTATTTGCTATTTTTATTTGAGAGAAATCTAATCTTTCATCTTTGCACTTTATTAAAAAAGGAATGCTCAAGATTCATATTATATTTGAAATGTGTTATGCATAAAGTATACTGATACTTTATTTAATCTCAACCTATTTAAAGAGGAAAGTACTAGGGTATAGGAAACATTTAAGAAGATAAAGTTTTTCTAATAAAAGAAAAAAACTAGTTGGTTCCTCCTCTCTCCCCCCCCCCCCCCCACGAACA